GGAACGAGGAAATAACCAAGTAAACTAAAATTGTTGCCACTTGCGGTTACACCCCAACATATAATAAGGTTATATCAGAACAGTAACAATAAAATAATCAAGTATAGCAACCATCAACGTCAGAACATAATGCCAACCATCACGCTGAATGTTAATGGTGAATTGAATTGAATGCAGTGGTGTATTTGACTTTAGCATCAGGACAATTTCTAAAACTCCACAAATGAACTTGATAGGATGCATGTATCAGACAATTACGATACTTGTTTACCAGAGCACATTTAATTTTGAAAATGTTTTATTGTTTTTCAAATCAGCAGTTTGTATTGTGTGGGAAGAGGCTTTTACATCTTAGTAAAAAACACATTTAAAGTAATACATTATTTATGAATTTTAGAGAAAATTTGCTTTATTCGAATGCGAGCTATATACAGTGTTCCCACCATAACAAGCAGATGGGCGGAGTATATGAGACAGCTACAGAAAAACAAGTCCATATATTTATGTGTATTTTCCGAAATGTCAAGAGGACAATACTCACCCACGCTGTAAGATTTGATTGGCTGAACAATACAATGAGAATTTAGGTCACACCCACAAAGATAAAAAAGTCATGTCAAAACAGGAATGAGGAAGTAACCAAATAAACTAAAATCTTTTCTACAGTACAACAACACCTTCGTCAGAAACAATAAACATAATGTCAACCATCAAGTTGAATCTTATTGGTGAATTAAATGCAGTGGTTTATTTGACTTTTGATGGAAACTGCTCAGCTAACATGGCCAGAATAAGTATTTGTTGAAAAACACTGGTAAAAACGATCGCAATTGCCTAAAAATAAATACCAATTTCGGTTACCAAGTTTTGTTTTCACTTGCCTCTTGTTGTCTTTTTTGTATAATACAGTAAACTATATTTACTGTTTTAATAAACACTGTTGGTAAGTGTGTCTGCTACCTGCAAATATCTATGCAAACAATACTAAAAAAAAGAATACTCTTTCACTTCACGCCGAGATATCATTAACCAACCATGCGTCACACTCAGGCTGACAAGTTAATGTCACG